AAATTTAAGTGTTTTTAGACATTTTGTTTTTACTAAATAATTCAGAAAACAAATTAGATTCACATTTTTGAAGAATAATATATAAAATTTTAGATATTTTTAGATATGTTGTATCATATTTTAGGTGTTTGTAAGAGTTTAATATACACATTTTATATTCATTTATACAAGATAATTTTATATTATTTACAACAAACTGATATACGTAAATTATATCTTATATTAAGCCCAAATATTTAATTAATAATTATTGTTTAATGTCATTTTTCCACATCTTTAATTTATAATTATTATGTAATATATTTACCCGTGCATCGCACAGGCTATGCACTAGTGTGGTTAATCCACATTCTCTTTCACATTATAGCCAACCAATAGATAGATGGGAGAAAAATATTATTATCATTTTCAAAGTATCTAATTATTTAATTTATTTTTTATTTATCATTTTTTTTTATTTTGGTCACGTGGACAATACTGTGTTTGATTACATTGTACATTGGAGATAATATTTTAAATTTAAAGTTATGGACTTTGGTAATTATTTTATGTGGTTCACAATCTATCTAATTAATTGATATGTCAAAATTTATAAAATAAGAATGTTTATGCATTGAAGATGCTTGGTTTCTATTTCCAAATGACCGGAAATTCCTTTTTTTTTGTTTTTTTTGTTTTTTTTGTTTTTGAAGAATATTGTTTCAGAAACTGAAAGGCAGTAACGTTTGCCAACAAACTTTGCATACATTTATTATGATATGACAGATATTTTAAGCGGACAAATCTTTAATTTAATGTATGTATTAATATATATTTTAAGTATATTTGTTTTAAAATACAAATTAGTGCATGATATATAAATAGATGTAGTTGTCATTCTATAAATAGAATAAATAATTTGACATCAGCAATAAGTGTTTGTAATTTTTTCACTCGAAACGATAGTAGATATTATACCAACTCGAAAATGGTAAAAAATTTCAATACATATTCACTTGGATTTACGCAGACTACCAAAAGGAGGCCCATTAAAAAACTAAAAAAACCACCACAAAAAGGGATAAAAAAACTCCACGGGGACACTTAAACCACCCAGACATAATTGTGGAGGTCTAAAAAAGACAAGTAAAGCTAAAAACTAACATACACCCAAAACAAAAACAAAAAATAAAATAAAGTCTCTCCTACTTATCGCGAATATGTCGTTAATGTCCCACTGCACACTCACATGCCACATCCCAAACCAAAAACTAAAAGAGATTGCATATACGAAACCCTCAGAACTGAAAACACCAGTCATAACTCGAACGATTAGTCAAATTTGGCGAGGAGACAAAACCCATGCCCATATCTGAACCCCAGAAAGTTCTAGTCAGGAGAGGAACCGGAAACTGGACAACCAACTCGACTAGCTTCACCGGAGAAGACCTACGCCATCAGACTCAGTCCGTGGCCAAAGAAGAAACGCCAGCATAGGGGAGGTTACAACGTGCAACTTTTACTTTTTGCCGAGGGGCTTTTAAGAGAGAGAAAAAGTGAAAAATTTGAAAATAGTCCTTCTAAACAAGAAAATAAATTTCTATGCTATTCTATAAAATTCCAATAATACCATGTAAAATTCAAAACATCAATAACTTTTTCTCTTTGAAATTAATCAACTTCTTAGATCCTAAATTGTGTCTCAAAGGATCTAAAAAGTGTTTTTCCAAACAAGTTGGAATTTACTGTTCCCAATTAGATATCTATAAAAAGAATACCATTAAATTAGACTAAGGATTTATATATCATTTTATGAGATTTTACAATTAGTTTGGGATGTTTATACTAGTAAAAATAATGATAATAAATAATAAGACAGCTAGGTTGAAAAGGCTTCTTGTATAAATGACCTCTCTCTCTCAGTAATAGTCTTAGTTGTCTCTCTCTCATTCTCTCTCTTAGCTGCATCATTTTCTGGTCCAAGCAACACTCTTTTCTGTCTCCTCTTTCTTACTCTCTCCTTCCTACATTTCTCTGCTAATTTTGCAAGTCACATTTTGGGCTTTTCTTTCTCAATTGGCAATAATGGAAGCTAATTCTTCTGGTGAGGATTGCTGTGTGAAAGTAGCAGTTCATGTGAGGCCGCTTATTGGAGATGAGAGGCTTCAAGGCTGTAAAGACTGTGTCACTATTGTACCTGGGAAACCTCAGGTACGATTTGGATTTTTTCTATCCTATATTCATTTTTCATCAATTTTGAAACTGGTAAACAATGCTGTGTTTCTGGGTCACTCTTTTTGTTTTTGTTTTTATTTTTTAAGTTGAAATTGATTTACTTTTCCTTCTGTTGTTTTTTGTTGGAAGATCTGGAATTTATTGATGGTATTGTTTACCAACATTTCAACCCTTGATGATTGAATTGAGAAATTTCGGAGGCCATGCATGGTTCATAACTCTATATATTTTCTTTTATTGAAATTTAAAAGAATATTCCTCTGTCCAGAAATTGGAAATCTTGAGGCTTAAGGTTACCTTTGTTCTTTGATTTGTTTCTTTATAAAAGCTTTTTCCTTTTTTTAATGTGATTTTGTTAGCTCAGATTATAAATAGTCATCTTTTTTCATTTTGTTTTGTTTAGCTACTCACAATATGCTTGAATCAATAGTATGTCTCAGTAATGGTCCAATTACGACCTTCCCTCTGGCTACATGAATACTAAATATGGAGAAATTTGTATATGTTGGTTTACTGATGTAAAGAAACAAGATTTTTTTTTTTTTTTTTTTTTNTGGCTTTTCTCCTCCCATTTCTAATTCAATTTGTGTGAGTGATTTTGGGATTTTGGTGCTACAGATACAAATTGGGACCCATTCATTTACATTTGATCAAGTTTATGGCAGCAATGGCTCCCTTTCCACCTCAATGTACGAAGACTGCGTGGCCCCTCTTGTCGATGGCTTGTTTCAAGGCTATAATGCTACTGTTCTTGCCTATGGACAGGTAAATAATATCTGTAATTAGTTTAGGTTTCACAAAGCTAGCTGTAATTAGTTGTCAAGCTTGAAAGTTGTGAATTTTTACTGTCCCGCATAATGACAGACGGGGTCCGGTAAAACATATACCATGGGCACTAGTCTCAGAGATGGAAGCCAAGGTGGAATAATTCCCAAAGTTATGAATGCTTTGTTCAGCAAGATCGAGACTTTGAAGCATGAAATTGAATTCCAGCTGCATGTTTCCTTCATTGAGGTATGTCCTAATCTATTAGTAATTTTTTCTTCAATAAGATCATTAGCTGCTAATACTAACTTTTCTTTAATTAATGCATATAATTTACGTTCTCGAGTATCTTCAGCATTATATGTCGTTTGGTGATTACAATTTACATCCATTTTTAATTTGTTGTGTAGATACATAAAGAAGAAGTAAGAGACCTGCTAGATCCTGAATATTCGACTAACAAACAAGAGACAGCAAACGGACATGCTGCAAAAGTGGCAAGCCCTGGAAAAGCTCCGATTCAAATTCGTGAGACATCCAGCGGTGTAATAACTCTTGCAGGGTCCACTGAATGCAGTGTGAAGACTCTCAAAGAGATGGCTGATTGTTTGGAACAAGGGTCTTTAAGCCGAGCAACCGGGAGTACCAACATGAACAATCAGTCAAGGTGCATAGTTTTAAATTTCTAACTTTTTTTTTTTTTTTTAATATTTCTTCTTGATTCTGATTTTTTTTTAAAAAAATTTAACGTTAATTTGTTGTTTTAGAATTGAATATGTTGGCAAAAGCCGTATATCAGGTGTATTTGTCTGTATATATTGTTTAACAAACTTATTTAGTAATAAATATTTGGGAATGGTGAATTTTACTAATTTCTATCTCTTTCTCTCTCTCTCTCTCACAGCCGGTCACATGCCATTTTCACCATCACAATGGAGCAGATGCGTAGGGTTCATCCAGGTTTTGGAAGTGATGGCAATCTAAATGACTGTATGTCTGAGGAGTATTTAAGTGCCAAGTTGCATTTGGTGGATCTTGCTGGTTCAGAACGTGCCAAGAGAACTGGCTCAGATGGTTTACGTTTTAAGGAAGGTAAAGAAGAAAAAAAAAAAGCAATATAGTGTTTGCTTGAAATGTGTACCTTAGTTTATTTTTTCTAGTAAAGTGCACGTACATCGCACGTGGTGCCGAATGTTTATTTTGCCGATTAAGTTTAGTAAAATAAATTAATTAATTTATTAAACATATCATTGTAAGAACAAAATAAAATGTAGAACAAATGAGCTAGCTCCTAATGTATTTTTTTGTTCAAATATAACATAACGATGTACTAATATAAAAAAAATAAAATAACATATTACAACCCCAACAAAAATACATGAAAAATATATGAATCCATAATTTTTTTTTTTAAAAGACACTAAATAACTAAATAAAGACAATGTATATTATCATTAGTCCTGCTGATATAAATGCTGAAGAAACTCTCAACACCCTAAAATATGCCAATCGTGCTCGTAATATCCGGAATAAACCTATTGTAAGTAATCCCAAGTGTTTTTTAGAACTCTCTAGATGACATTTGCAAATTTCATCCTATTGGGATTGACTTTACTTCATGCTAAAAGAATTCATTGGTTGGCTTGATGATCAGATTAATAGAGATCCAATATCGAGTGAGATGCTTAAGATGCGTCAACAGTTGGAATATCTACAGGCCGAACTTTGTGCCCGTGGTGGAGGAGTTTCATTTGATGAAATACAAGTAAAGTGCAGCATTTCTTTTTATTTTTTCTTTTATCCCTTTGTTTATTGAAGTCCTATTTTGAAAATATTTTAAGTTCGTATTAGAACTCTTATAGCTTTAGATTTTAATTTCACCCATGTCTTTGTTCTGTAATTATACTGAGGGTTAAATCTTGTCCATAACAAGTCTGAAATATGTGCAGGTTCTAAAAAATAGAATTACTTGGCTAGAGGCTACTAATGAGGAGTTGTCAAAGGAACTCAACTTGTTTCGTAATGGAAGTGATTGCATGAAGCAGCATGAAGCCGAAATTAAAGTACGTAAGTTGTCATTAGCAGGCAATATTCACTCATATGTGATCACAGTATGTTTAAATGTGAAAAGAGATGATAATATTTATTGTGTTTGAGGTTAAAATGAAATGTGATCTATTTGCAGGCTTATGAAGGTGGTGCAATTAAGGGTGAAGGTCTCAAAAGAGGGTTGCAAAGTATGGAGTCATCTGATTATAAAATGAGTGAAGGTTCCACTAGAGCTAGCTTCCACTTTGATNCCAAAAAAAAGAAAAAAAAATGTGAATGGAGACAATTCTGTACATTTTGGCTGATTTTATATGCCATTCATTATTTGCAGGTGACTCTGGAGATATCGATGAAGATACAGCAAAAGAGTTGGAGCATACTTACTTGCAGAATAGTATGGATCAAGAAATGAGCGAGTTAAATCGACAATTGGAGCAGAAAGAGGTAAATTTTTTAGTTATCTGATTTCAGTTTCCGTACAGACATATCCTATTCTGTTTCTTTAGTATAAGATATTGAATTTATTGTGAATGTAAGTACATGACTTTGAGTATGAGATAGCAATCATGTAGTATGTTCAATATTCTTGCATAGAAACTACATACAAAAAAATGTTTAATGCTGTCTTATCATGAGGATCTTGTGAACTTAACATTAGTACTTCTTGCAAAAAACTATGTATTGCAGTCACAGATGAAACTTTTTGGAGGATATGACACCACTGCTTTAAAGCAACACTTTGGGAAGAAACTTATGGAACTTGAGGAGGAAAAAAAAACAGTGCAGGTCTTGCAATTAGAAAACTGAATAGTTCCCTGATTATATACGTCTTCAAAAAGAAAATTGAAATTATAATGTTAAAACTTTATGCAGCGGGAAAGGGATCGATTGTTAGCAGAAGTTGAAAATCTTTCTGCTAATTCTGATGGACAGGCACAAAAATTGCAAGACATGCATGCCCACAAACTAAAAACGCTAGAAGCCCAGGTTTTCCCATTTTACTTATTAATATTTTCCAACATCATATTTCTTGTATCATTAAACTACTATTAGTTTGTCACATTATTATGTCCTTTAACAATTTTTTTTGTACTTTTTAAAATTTTTTGCACACCAGATACAAGATCTTAAGAAGAAACAAGAGAATCAGGTTCAACTTCTGAAACAGAAACAGAAGAGCGATGAAGCCGCTAGAAAGTTGCAAGAGGAAATACAGTGCATTAAGGCACAAAAAGTCAGTTTGCTTTTTCCTTGTATTCATATCTCACATCAATATATATGTATATATACATATATGCATAATTCTATAGTCTGTTAAATGCTTATTATACTATTGTGTATCGGTTTTGTAGGTTCAACTACACCAAAAGATAAAACAAGAAGCTGAGCAATTCAGACAATGGAAGGCATCTAGAGAAAAGGAATTGCTGCAGGTAATTTTTATGTGGCAAACTATTTCTCCCCAAAATCACACAGTATGCTTTAGATTTCCACTGTTTTTCCCCTTTTTCCTTTTAAACAAAGACCCATTTGGCTCCTCTGAAATTTTATGTTGGCATGTAATGTTTGCACACAGTTAAGGAAAGAAGGGAGAAGAAATGAATATGAAAGGCATAAATTGCAAGCATTGAATCAACGCCAGAAAATGGTTAGTATCCTTTTTTTTGTAAGTTGATGAACTTATTTTCTGTATGAAGTGCATTAATCTATTTATAAAAATCCTGCTAAACCTGTTTTTATTTGCTTCAGGTTCTACAGCGAAAAACCGAGGAAGCTGCATTAGCTACCAAGAGGTTGAAAGAACTTCTAGAAGCACGTAAATCATCAACTCGCGACAACTCAGGTAAGTCCTTTTCTCAATTATGTAAACTATTTGTCCAGAACAACAGACACATATTTTTCTGATGCTGAAGTTATATACCTATTTTGCAGTCATTAGCAATGGAATTGGAACAAACGGGCAGGTTATTCCTTATTCTCTTAAACTAAATAATTTCTTTTGCTTACCTATTTGAACGAACCATATAAAAACATTGATGTTAAATTTTGCAGGGCAACGAAAAATCATTGCAACGTTGGCTTGATCATGAGCTCGAAGTTATGGTGAACGTTCATGAAGTTCGTTTCGAGTACGAGAAGCAGAGTCAAGTGTATGTACTATTTCCACAATTCCATGTTATTGATTTTGAGTTCTTTAATATGCTTGTTTATCTTTGATTAAGCCGATCACAGGAATACACTTGCAAAAAGTCACAATATTTTGTTTGTCCCTTTTTTTTTTTGGGTCTCGATTGCAGACGATCTGCACTAGCTGATGAATTGGCTGTTTTAAGGCAAGTTGATGAATTTGCTTCAAGAGGTGTTAGCCCTCCAAGAGGCAAAAATGGTGTTTCTAGGTTTGTAATTTTTGTATATCTTTTATCATCATCATCATCATCATCATCATCATCATCATCAAAGTGTCACTTCCTTATCACAATGGATGGGTTCATCTTAATTTTGTGAGACATTCAAAAAGCTACGCCTATGGTTTGATTCTGTTTCAAGCCATTGTGAGTAAGTAAGCTGAATATTTTCATGAATATAAGTGTTGAAATGGTTTTTTCCAATGAAACTTAGGGGACAGTAGTGAAGGTCAAGTCTTTTCGTTTCTTTTCCATTGTTTTTTTTTTTTTCCACAAATT